GCCGTTGAGTCCCAGTGGAGGGTATCCCACAGCCTCACATCACCAGACGTGTACCTTAAATCCAAACACGCAAAAAGTTCATCAGTATAAAGAAAGTTTTGTTGACCATTTTTTTCCACAGCACGTTGAAAAGTTTCCACCTTCGAGAACACCTGACGTCACCCTCTCACCGCTGAATCATTTCCCCTTTCACACCCTCCTCCTGCTCACTCTGACTTGTTATTTTGTTTTCATCCTTTGTTACACGATCTTTCGACAATTACGATGGTGTTGTTTGGGCGACACAATAACGAACATTTCGCCCCATTTTTCCAGGACAGCTTGCGCACCACGAGTTTTCAGTTCCTTTTTTAATTTTTTTATACATCACAGCTCCAAAACTTCTGTCTTACTACAAATGAAGTAATATTTGATCATTTATTCATTTATTTAAAAGTATACTTTCACTGAGACTGGGATATGCACACATACACAGTGATACACACTGGACCTTGATTTTACTTTGGGTTTAAATATTGATTTTATTTGTTCTGATGACATTTTTATCTCTGATCATCACTGTATTCGCCCCTGTATTCATAAATTCCTTAAATCGTGATTGTCGCAAAGCTGAGAGCTTGTGGAAAAAAACTAATTTAAATGTTCATCTCCTTTACTTCAAGGATCTGTTAGTTTCTTTCAACAATGCAATTAGAGATGTGTGGGCTGCCTATTTCTCTTATCTGGTTGCAAAGGGCAGAAGTAATCCTAAGGTGTTATTTGACACTATTACTGACATTATTATTCCTGCTCCACCTGCTGCCCCCATTTATTCAAATGAAGACTGTGAAAATTTCCTTCCTTCTAGAAAAAATTAGCAATATAGGAAATAATTTTTCCCCATCAGCTTATTGCTTGTCTGATCTTACTCTAGCTTGGTCATTTTCTACCCATTTCACTACCCGAGCTGGTAAAAATAGTTAGCTCAAGGAAAGCATCATCCTGTTCACTTGACTGTTTGCCTGCATCGCTATTCAAAAGTGTCTTCCATTCCATTGGTCCCTGTTTGCTCACCATAATTAACACCTCTTTGACATCTGGTAAAGTCCCTGCTTATTTTAGAAATGCTGGTATACAACCCCTTTTAAAAAAAAAAAAACCCAAGTTAGACCTTTTCTTACCAGCAGTTACAGTTTTAGACAAACATAATATTCTTAACAAATTCCAGTCTGGCTTTCGTAGAACCCATTTTACTGAAACAGCCCTTCTTAGGGTCTCCAGTGATATTTTGTTGCAAAATGATGCAGGAAAATGTTCTGTTTTGGTGATGTTGGATCTCACGTAGGCCTTTGACACCGTTGACTATCACATCCTACTTGAAAGGCTAAAATACTGGGTCGGTGTATCTGGATCTGCCTTAGAGCGGTTCTTATCATATCTGTATGAACGTTACTTTTTTGTGACAGTTTCTAAATACAGGCCATCTTCGACGTCCCGGTACTATGGTGTGCCACAAGGCTCTGTGGCCTGGGCCTTTATTGTTCTTAATATATCTACTTCCCCTCCAGCATGTTTTGAGCCCCATTGAGGACATCTGTTACCACCGCTACGCAGACAATATCCAGTTATACATTTCTTTTGAGCCCCAAGATGTTTCTAAGCTACAGATTTTGAATGAGTGCTTAGATTCCATTAAAGTTTGGATGGCTGACAACTTCCTCCAACTTATAAAAGGAAAGACTGAAGTCCTTGTATGTTCTCCTGATAGACACGTACCTAAGATAATGAATGCTCTTGGTCCCCTTGCAACATTTGTGAAATCGTCTATCAGGAATCTAGGGGCAATCTTTGAACCGGCTTTCACTTCGGATGTTCACATCAAATCTCTGGTTCGGTCCTGCTTTTATCACTAAAGAAACATTTCTAAACTAAGCCCTATTGTATCTCGTACTGAACTGAAGATTGTCGTTTATGCTTTCATTTCTTCAAGACTGGACTACTGTAATTTACTGTTTAAGTGTTTAAACAAAAACTCTTTGGAGCATCTACAGATTGTTCAAAGCGCTGCAGCAAGACTTCTGACCAAAACAGCTGCACTGGCTCCCCATTGAATTCAGAGTCCATTTTAACATTCTGATGCTGACTTATAGAGCTCTTCATGGACAAGCTCCTGCATACATCATTGAGCTTCTACAGCCCTATGTCCCTAGTAGGTCGCTGTAGGTCATGTAATCAAGGTCTACTTGTCAATCATTATACAATGCTGAGAACTAAGGGAGACAGAGCTTTTGCCACTGTGGCTCCCAGACTGTGGAACTCACACCCACCGAGCTTAAGATCTCTGGACTCAGTAGTTTCTTTTAAAAAAACAACTAAAAACACATTTTTTTTAGAATTGTATTTAGTTAAATGTCGTCTGTTTTGTTTTATACATAGCACATAGCACTTTGTGATCTTTTATCTAGAAAGGTGCTATATAAATAAAGTTTTATCTTACCTTATAATACATAGAGATGCATTATATATTTTAAAAATTAATAATAATAAGAAGAATATGCATGTTAGATTTCAGACACATTAAAACAAAACTAATTCAGACCATGTATGAAGTTTGGCTTGATAGTTAATTGGTATGCAATTTACAAAAATTAGAGAAATTCTCACATTTAAAAACTTTTAATTTGGTAAATTGGTTGACAAATTACTTTACCAGTTTTTCTTCAAAAGTTTTAATGAAATACATTTTTTATCTATCAACAAACTAATTAATAACCCTAAACCAGATGCTAAAATTAAGCTTAAATTAGATTTCGGTGATTTTTTTCCTCCACTTTTAGTCTAAAAATAAACCAAAAAAAGGTCATATTCATATTCCTTAATACTGTCTGCCTAACTCAGGGCCAAACCAATCTAACTTATCGGGAATCCAATCAATGGGTCACACCAATGTAGACCTCAGGGATTAAATTAACATTAGTTACACAAAAGTGAATTTATTTGCAAGGATGATTAATTGATCACAAAATACCTCATGCAGCTCACTCAAAAATAACATTTCTAGTAGCACAATTTCTTCAACAGAATGGAACATGACCTTCTGTTCATGTCATTTCACCAGACTCCAAGTTAGTGGAAAAGCCCTGACTATATCCCATCACACCTAAAACTCTCAAAACCTCCTCTTTCCTGTTTTTTTTTTTCTTTTTTCGCCTAAGCCAATGAGCTCTCTCTACAGGAGACAGCAAACTGCCAAAGTTCCCACCTCCGCGGATACCATCATGTCTGAACAAGTGTGCAGTCGCAGTGTGTCATGCAGTCACAGCAAGTGTGACACAGGGTGTTCATGCGAGCACCCGTTATTTGCATGCATAACTGTCTTAGCGAGGTTTGGCAGAGAGTAGACAATTGGGACACACACTTTGACTTAATTGGTACGTCAGCACAATGCCAGCTATCAACAGGAGGAAGATGATGTTGAATCATATCCAAGGAACTCGTCAAAAACTTTGTACAGGAAGAGTTGTGCACTGATTACTGCAATCTTCACGCAAGCCTCGGGAGATCCGGCCTCTATGTTACTGTGTGACATTAAGAGCTGTTGGGTTAACGAGACAGCATCTTATGTTGCTTTTTAAGTGCCAAATCTCATTTCACTAGTTTTCTAATAAGATTTAGTGGAGACAATTGAATCACTTTTGATTACTCTTAACGGCCATTGATTCCTTTCTAGATAAACAAATTCAAGTAGTTGAATTAACTTTTAATATAATGGGAAAAGTATTGATATTGTTAATTTGTTAATAGCAGTAGTAAGAAAAAGAACAATTTAACAGCATGTTAACATTGTTCAAGGTGCCTTATTTCATAAATGCAATTTTCGTTGTCTTATGTGTCTTACGTGTGCTTTTTATCAGTGGGACACAGCAGGACTGAGGAGACTCTAATCACATCACTCTAAAGAGATGCTCCAAATTTCTGAGGCCTTATTGGGTCCCTTTGGCCACTCACAATCAATCACTGTCTCAGCCAACTAGTTCAAAGCAGTTGCAGTTTATTTAAACTGCAATTTATTTAACCCTTCTCTCACCATAGGACCATAAAGACACTCGTTTTGACTGAATCACACCAGTCACTAAAGTACTCAGTACATTATCATGGCTCTTTTAACTTGGCCTTTATTTTCATCTTAACCACATGCGTGTGTAGTTTGGTGACTGTGCCTTGATGTGATGGTTTTCTAACAGCAAAATCTGTTAACAGACAAAGTACATAAAACCACCTGCACCTGTGGGTTTCTCTAGAAAGACATTCAACAGTGTCAAAATGTGACAACAGACTTGATTGCTGAAATTTCCAGAGTCACTTTGCAAGTTTTCAAAAGAAATGGAAATGGAAAAGGAATTAGAAGATGGCACATAGAACGTCCACTAACAGTTTAGCCCCCCTGGCAACTAACCCTATGGGAGGCTTTAAGGCTTTTTTTGTAAATGTCAGTGCTGTGAGCTATACGAATGATAATTGTGGACATCACACTCATGTGGGCCAATGACATGCGACTGAATGTGGCAATACATTTGGATACTTAAGGCATCCGTCTGTGCACGTTCTTTAGTCTCAAAATCTTTTGCACCACTTCAACTCCACCCTCTTTCTCTGAAGCTTCTCAAAATTTGGGGTGGTGGTGATGAATGTCAGCAAAGTGAAAAACTGATCTCAACTGTAAAAATGGCACAATAAACGATATTTGATAAGTACTGACTTACGTGTTCATTTTTGGTAACAATGTTAGAAAATCATTTATTTACACTGTTAACCATCACATGTTCCAAATCTTTGACCAGAAAATTATTACCAGCTTATAGTCTTAAATTCACCACCTGTCTCATCCCATGAAATTGAAGTCACTTAAGTGTTACTGCAAGCACATTTCTAACTGCTTCACTTGATTCTTCAATTGACTTTAAATGAATTATCCCCCTAAGAAGGGAAAACCAAATGTGTTGGACTGTCAGTAACCACTGCAATAAGACATATAGTCATACATTTTAATTAAACAACTAGTAAAGAATCAGAAAGGTTATGATCAAGATTAATTTACACCAAGACACCTGACAAGAAAAAGAGACAGAAGCACAAGGCAGAAGAGTTGAGTATATGAGGAGTCAACGTTACAGTTAACATCGTTACTAATCGGCTGTCAGAAGTGTCCTACATGCATCCTTGATACTCACCCAGCTAAGACGAAGTTGTCATAGGAGCTGACGTCACACAGCACCTTCCCCAACTCGAACTGCAGCTGGCTGATGGATCCCACTCGATTCTGGGTGAAAATTATAGGCAGGCTGAAAACTGATATATTTTATTAGATGAGAGACTAGCAGCTGGTCTACTGTCAGTTCTGCACTAATATCAGTCTGAGAAATTCAGTAACAATTAGTATTTCCCAATAAAGTGAAGCAGTGATGCTTTACAAAAGAAAGCTTGTAAGGGCCTTGCTGTATAGTGTCCATGTTCTTCTGCCTGTGCGTGTTTTTCTCTGGCTACCTCACACAGTCCAAAGACAGGCATGGTAATCATATTTTGAATGTAGGTGCAAGTGTGAGTGCATGTCTGTCTGTTAGTTTTACCGATACAATTAGGGTAAGTCGATGTCCCAGTTTATGTATGACAGCACAGGATTTTCATCCTCTGTCCCAGTATCACATATTGACATAATGTCCCACATTTTAATGGGCCCCAGTTTTCAATAGTAAGCGCTTCAGGAGACGCTTTCCCAAAGTCTGCCTTTTTTCTGAGAAAGCAGGAAAGCCAGTTATCCAGGTCAACTTGCCACCAGCTTTTCCAGTTGTGCAAAGTCCAGTGAGGAAATGCAGTGAAATCTTTGTGAATCTGTAGGTCATTCAAAGACTGTCTTTTGACTTATTCTTCAATTTTGCACAGCTGCTGGATGGAAGCATCTGTTTCGCCACAGTAAAGTAGTTCAAGCTCACCTTCCAGTTGAAGCGCACCGTTTTAGAAGAGTTCCTGCAGTCTCGCAGCATACTCTTCCAGCAGGGCGAGTCAGACATGCTGGCATTCTGATGGTAACCATCCCTCACGCACAACTTGAACCACAGAACGGAGTCCTCTGCAAGGACTCTCCATGCCCTGCTCACCTGAGAGAAGATTAAACCGTGTAACTGTGGATTGAGTCAGCATACATTAAGAGCTTGCATCACTTATTTCTATTTAACAAGCTCGGCTGACTGCCAAATGGACTCGTCACATGCGGGTCTGGCACACAAAATGTAATTTATTAATCTGTACCTAATTAAGTTGTGAAAGGCAAATAAAGCTGCCCTAAGCAATTCAGTATGTGTTGCTACAAATTAAGAACTTAACTTTTTAAATCACAACACATCGCTATTGTATAGCTGGGGTGCGGTTTTGGCCATGAAGATTTCTGGTCCCTGTGCAACAAAATAATTTGTTTTAGCCTCAGAGTTGTTTTCATTTGAATCCCTCCCAGATTGTAACGCTTGTCAGTGTGCAACTGTTCATCTAAAGTAGAGGTTCAAAAACTATTTTTAGAATGTGAAAGATAGATACTTGCAATAACCCCTTGATGTCATCCACTCGCTCACTCAAGCAAGACTTAAGTCACCAAGTAGTTCAATAAAATAATAATTTATTTCTCTGTGGCTCATTTAAACACATTTTAGAGCTCTATTTTCACAAGAAAATAGCAAAGAATACTCACGAGTAACCAGATAAGCATATGTCCATTCCTGTCCCATTAATTGGACAATTTACTTTATTTTGAAGTGACTGCCAAAACAATGTCCTATTTATGTAAACACTTTTTTCATCAAATGAATCCCTTCTGTTGGCTGAAAACTACAGTACCAGGGTTTTCCATCAGTGAATACAAGGCCTTGCAACGTCGTCTTGTGAAAAACCTGATTAACCTCTAAGATTCATTCTGGAGCTGGTGGATGAAAACACTGACCTGCACCCCTGAGGGGACGTTTGTCCAGCCTCTTACTCAGATTGCTTACCTGGGCACATCGGCCTAGTTCTGCACAGTTGAGATATTGGAATATCTTCAAAGCTATCTCATACGGCAACTCAATATCAAAGAAGGGAATGTCATTGACTTCATTCTGCAAAACAGATCATTAAACACACATTATATACCCAGCTGACTGTGGTCAAGTACCATCTGACGATGTGCATTATCGCTCTCATACCAGATCCTGAATGAGTTGGTCTACCAGCTCTTCTTCTTTCTTGACCTTTCCCTGAGGCTGCTGCTGCAAGGATGCGCTGCAGACATTAGTCATGTTATGATATTGCCTCTTTCTCCTGCTCCTCTCCTCCTCAATTCTGTCCAACAGAGGGCTGGTCCTTCCATCCAGCAAACTACTTGCAATGGACACATACTGAGGCTGATTCTCTGTCTCTGCGGCAGCAGCAAGAGCAGCAGGTTTTCCCCCTACACGAACATGCTCAGTGCAACCACCTTCTTTTGGCTTTGAATGACTACCGGCCTTGTTAAGATTTTTTAAGTTTCTCTGGCCTAACTGTTCATCAATATCCCGGGAAGAGGAAGGCGCACAAACCAGTCGTTGCTCCCCCTTTTTACTCGATAACTCTCGTTTCCAACGCTCCCTGAACGCAGCAAGATCGTTCTCTGCCATATTCTTCTGTCATCGCTGAAAATCTAACTTTTTTTCAACATTACAAAGTAAAATTTTGTAGTTTTACAGACGAGTTAAGAATAGAAACAGAACGACGCCGACATAAAACAAGCACGTCCTCCTGTATAAACAGTCCGAAGAGGGAAAGCGAGCAAATGTGCAAAAGTTCCGCCAACTTTTAATTCCGCATTTTTATTATAGACGCGTCGATTGCAGGGGGAGATATATTGTATTTGTGGGCAATGTTTTGGCAATTTATTTTTATACAAAATTTATTATTTCGTATTACATAGTTATGTGTACAGGATGATCACATTTTAGAAAAAGTGCCATTTTTATTAGAATTTTAAAATAATTTAAGTGTGCTAATGCAGAAAACTCCCCAAGATAAAACCAAACAGGAGAGATCCAAGAGTTAATCATTGCATCGCTCTTTTGGGAAAAAGATGATGTAAACCCCACACCATGTGACACTGTAATGAATAATACAGTAGTGAGAGAGGTGGGGGAGAAAGGGGGGACGCAAACACTGTAAAGGTTTGCTGAGAAAAAGAGAAGGAGGGTCCTGTATCCTCAAGACTTAAACTGAGTAGACCGTGCGTTTTGCCGCGAAGACGAGATGTGCTGGCTGCCGATAGATCATCCTCTGCTGCTTCCAGGTGACTCAACCTGCAGCTCCCGTCGACCCTCGCCGTGCTCCGTGGCTCAACTGCTCGCGTCGCGCATACGGAGGATCGGGGATCAGCTGGAGAAAAGCTGGGCGACCGAGCGGGCGGACGTCGGCTACAGCTGCGGAGACAGAGGGACGGTGGTGGTAAGCGGACGGGGTCACCTGAAGGAGGGCTTCCTGTGCGTTGCGCTGCACTTCACCGTGCTCGTGCTGTTCGTCGCGAGGCGACACCTGTAGGGCGCGAGGCTGCCTCACCAGCAACAGGTGAGTAAACAGAGTCACGTCACCTGTTCGAGCGCGAAACCACTAAGCCTATCTCAGATTTGGATGAAAATTAATTTAGACATATTTGTCAAATTGAAACACACACACACACACACTAAATAAATATAAAAATGCTTTTTTTGACGCAGGCCAGAAGAACATTTTCTTTACTACTTCCATCAACTTTTCTTGGCCTTTCCCAAATGAAAGAATCAATTTTAAGATATAAAAATACATTTAACCTCTCAATATTTGCACAACAACTTTCATCAAGGGACCATAAAAACTGGATAAATGAATTTGGCGATAAAAAATGTTTTAAGTATTAGGTAATTATTAAGAGTCGCACTTCTACAGAAAATGAGATGAAATAAATATTAGGATAGAACTGATGCCATTCTCTACATTTTATTTTCAGACAGTGCTAAATAGAAATTATAGCTCTACTGTAGGTTTCACGTTTCTTATAATGCGTCTCAATAAAGTGCGTGTATCTCTATCTCATCATAGACGGTGCCTTTAAGATTATGCATGAGGGAAAGCAACGGGCTCTCACCATTTGCACTTAAAGCAAAGGATGGAGGAGAGTCGGAGGATGCGGTGCAGGAAGAAGTGTGCACAGCGGGTGGAAAAGCGACAAACGAGGAAGCGGGTTAAATTTGTGTTTCAGGAACGGAACTGCGTTTCTGACTATTCTGCATGTGGCATGAAGACTAACTCAGGTCGGATATGGATGCACTATACCGAGCTGAGACGACACCAGCAGCCCTGCAGTCAGTCAGCGGCTATATCTACCCCTACGTGACTCTCCAATTCTGTCATCCCATCTACAAGCCGGTGATGTAATCTTCCCCTGGTAGAGTGGAGGGAAAAGCTTACTAATACGCCTTTAAAATTTTCACCTCCCACAATGCGAGTGCATCAGTGAAAACTGGGGTTAAACTCATTAGACCTTCTGTATCTAGGCTACAATAAGTGCAGCAATCCTTAATAATGCACTGAAATGTTTCCAAGCTTCATAATGCACTGTACCTTTTCTTTTTTTTTATTAACATAAGCTATAAGTGTAAGCATGTAAATAATGAGAGTGGTTTTTACAGGTGTTTTCTACAGTGTTTAGATGATGTTTACACATTACTCTGCTTTTTTTTAATCTGTTGGGGGGAGTGTTATGTGGCTTGTTATTATAAAGAAAACTCCTAGGAAGCTATGCTGTTATGCTGTCTGTGATTTCTGCAAAAAAGAAAAAAAAGCTTTTTTCCCCCTACTATATTTAATGTAATGTGGGTAAAATTCCTGAAACGGTCTTTTATAAAGTGTATGGTCTTTATACTTTTAAAACATTTCATATGAATTTTTAGCAGTCCTGATAATAAAAAAACGTTTACTGAGATATATTCTTTGTGTCATTGCATTTAGACAAGAAATACACCTGATATTTGAGCTTAAGTGCTTTATTTCAAAACCAATGATCTCAGTGCTGCACTGCGCATTTTCCATATAGTCCTAGAGTCTATTAAGCAGCCCGAGGAAAATTATTCTAAATAAAATACACAGTAACAACATAAATGAGGAATAACAATGGAAGACAATTTACAGTATGGACGATTATCAGATATGTGCCTCTGATGTCAGTGACAATGTATGTACTACATATCAACACTTTTACAATGCACCGTTTATAGTCAGGCTACTTAACCGGCACACACCACCTTGTTCCTTATTCAGTATCTAAATATGCTTATGTTTTACCAACCACAACATCTTCTACCTAAAGAGTACAAACTGATTTTCCATTAAGAATCATTCTGAGACATTTCATTTTCGAATAAAGTCCATTTGTAGAACTAAATCAATACATGTGATGAAATTGTAAAGACAACTCGGAGTGTATATTCAGTCACGTTTTACATTATAACCGCACTTAAAACAAACTTTTATATTAAAAAAAGTCAAATAAAAAGTTACCCATAGATTACAACAGTAGCGAACCATTGAAATTGAGCTCAAGTTTATGTTCCTTTACCACATTGATCATTTCTTTAAACATGTGACCTCAATCACCAGCTTTATAGGAAATGATTGTTTTTAAATATATTCGATTATGGCCTTCTCAAATTTAATGTCCCCAATATATCATGTATTACCCCAATTATTCCTAGCCTGATTTATATAAGACATTTACAGAAACATCACTGTTTACCTTGCTTCAGAGTACAATCACATATCTCTGGATGCTCATGATATATTGTTAGAACTTAGTAAATTTGGAAGTGAGCTGAGGTGGTGCCATCCTTCCAGCATCTCAGGGTCTCAATGACAGTAGACCGACACAGTGGACACGTTCTCTCACGATCGAACCACAAACACAGGCATTCCTCGCAGAACACGTGCTGCAGAATAACAAAATTGTCATTTATTTGATTGCAGAAGTGTGACACATACATAGCTAGGATATCTTGCTAAAAATACCAATAAATAAGTAAATTTGTCACTCAAGCTACTCTTGTGAAAACTGCATCTAAAAAAATGGACATAGTCACCATGAAATCATCACGGGTTAATGAAGCCTTGTTGTGAAACATTGAGCATACTTGACCCTCCATATAAGCGCTTCCGAAACCAGATGTCACAACTGCAGGGAACATCTGACTGTGAAACCATGTGACATCACCATGGAAACAACAAAAGCAATAATCACGTTAGGCTTGTCCTGCATTATTGCTCTTTTGGATAAAGGGGGCTGTAATTTCAAAAATTAACATCAGTCACTGAACCTAGTGACTGAGCCCTTAAGTATTTATTAGAGGATCAAGGAATCTAAAAGCTGTTTGTGACCACAGAGTCACCCTCTGCTGGCCATTAGAAAGAATGCAGGTTTGGTTTCAGACCCAGAAACTATGTCCATCTTTTATAGAAGTCTATAACATAATTGTTATTTACAGATGATAACAGAGCAACAAAAGTAGGTCATATTAACTTTTAACCACACCCAAATAACAGTCAGTATATAGTGACATTCAGTGACAACAATTTTGACTTTAAATGAGCCAAATAATTTGCAAAATTTCGATTTCTTTTTACCATTTTGTTACCAAGTTAATGAACCCTTACCTGACAGAGAAGTGCAATGGGGTCTCTAAAATCAGCCTGACAAATAGCACAGACATCACCTGCCTCGCTGCACTGCTGACTGCCAGCTCTCACTCCATAACTCTGGATGACATATGCACAAACACACAAAGGAGTGAAATCTTCTGGATACTCATTTAGATTTTTTATAAATTCTTAAAAAAACAAAACAAAAACAAAAACGACTGACCTGGGAGCTGCAGAGCATGACCAAGGCCTTGCGTATTGCAGATATACGTCCGCAGATGTCAAAGGACTGCAAATCAATCAAGATCAAGACAAAGCACAATTATTTAAAAAAATTAAACAAATATGGAATTACAGCATCCCACAGGATTCCCCATTTCATCCAAAATTAGAAAGGACTTCTTATCTCATTGTCTTTATATAAAATAAAGCCATTACAAATTGATCAAAAGTCCATGCTGCAAATTGTTTCAGTTACACAAACTAGACCTTTGATAACTTCCTCCACCTACAGCCTTCTGGTTTAAGCTAGTTTCTTTGAAGTTCATTCAACTGTTGCCCAGTCATTCAACACCGTTATGACGACAATGACTCAAAGAAGCATTCATATCAGCATGCCGTTATACTAAAGCAAGCCTTGCTTTGCCTGATTCTGGAAAACACCAGTGTGCTGCAACTTGTACATGGAGTACGCACATCCAGGAGATTACCCACGTAACTCAGTCGAACACCCCCATATTTAAGAACTACAACATCTGAATCACTGTTATATTTAAAGAAAGCAGGTCAACAATTGTAAACACACATTGTAGAATGTAAGGGTCTCAGAGTGTAAATAATCTTTGCATCATCCATAGACTTGCTCATTCATGTTCCATTAATTTTCACTATTTCTGTTCTCCCACAGAATGTCGTGTCCAACTTTTAGTGAGTCATTGCCCAAGAAAGTCTATTTTCTGAGTTTTGAAGTCTTTTTAAAGGCTGACCTTCCTGTGACCATTGACTAAGTTTTCTGTCACGGGTCCATGAGCTGAATGAATGAATTCTTACTCTGAAACTAATGTTGCTTAAAAACACGTCAAATGTGACAATGCTGGGCTTTTTTTTTGTTTTCCACCAGTTTTACAGAAATTTGCAGAGGCATTACCTTTCCATACTGAGAACAGCAGACTAAATGGTACTAATGACTTACAATTATTGGGGAGAAAAGAATGGTTGAGGAAAAGTCTGATAATTTTAAATGACCCCTCATCTGGATTCCCCCTCATGCCAAAATTTCCATGATACCAATACATGACTGAAAATAATGACTGAATTTTGATGACTTTTTTTTGCATAGGAGCACCACTAAAATCCTACCAGAAGTCTAAAAGTAAGTCTTTAGTGAAAACCTTCCATGCAAAACCTAAAAAAAAGGACAAAAACAATTTTGCCCCCAGGTGCTGAAACCTTGCAGAGGCTGTAGATGATGATGAGTGTAGCTCCCAGGAAGTAACTGTTTGAGGGGTCTTCTCCCATGATGTACTTGTACCACAACTGGATGGGAACGAGAGCTCGAAACAGCTGGCTCAGCTCCTCGATCAGCAGGTAGAACTTACCCTGCACAAACACACACAATATTAAAAACTACATCAATAGCCGAGACTTCAATTATTCAGTGTCAGTGACTATATGTGGCCATGTAAACTGAATGGCAGCACTTTTGAAAAAGAAACAAAAAAGACACATAACACAAGTTTCAAATATAAGGAAAAAATATATATACCCAGTGGAGACAATATGTATTCTTTGTCTGATCCACTCGCTAGCTGTCCAAAAAAGCAAACAGGACTCAGTAGCTTCAGGGCACTCTTCTATCTAGTCGAGAGCAGTGTGGTATTAAAAGCTTAAAACAGCATGCCTCCAGCCCAAATGTGGCCGCTGTCCAGATCTCAGCAGTTTCACAGCAGTACAAGCAATTTCCTCACACTGCAAGGGAAACTGGCAGCGGCTCTTTCCACCTGCTACCCAGTACCCACATTAAGCTCAGCCCTATGGGGGCTCGCTAGCTATCTTTAAAGGGCCTCCCTTCCGTAATCACAGAGTAGAAATGTACTTCTGTCCCCACTGCCACAAAGTGTGTTAAGTGAATTGGGGACGGTTAAAAGCGGGGGCGAACAAAACGAAGGCAAACTTGATTCCCCGATTGCCCCGGCTTGCATAATGACTTCCTGGATGATAGCTGACAAAGATTGATGACTGTGGGTAAAGAGGCACAAGCAGCTGGGTAGGCAGGGAAAGTAGACCTCTACTAGCTACTAATTCATCTTCCTTATTGTCCCCTCAGTCTGGCATCCCACAGTGCCCATCACGCCCACGCAAAAACTGTCAAATTTAAAGTTTGGAGATGAGCCAGCCAGTGTGAGTAGCAGACACTGCTTGAGTAGTCCTTAGCTTAGCCATTACTGTACATTTTTATCTACAAGACTGGAATTTACATTACTCAGAAAGGATTGACAAACAAAACGTCTAGTCGGTTCTGTCATAGTTTATTCTTACTTCCGTTCACTGGCACACTGTGGGTCATTCTTTTAGGGCTGTTGCAATATCCAATGTTATTTTGGACCTCAAAACAAAAAAGGATGCACTAATATTATCACAATGTGAATAGAATAACAGTAATAATAGCGTCACTCAAATTTAGCTATATATAAAATACGAGTGTAAGAAAGTTACACAAGAAGAACAATTGCAGTGACAGTTACGCAGAAACTGCAAGCTGGACAAATCTTATCACTAAAATTAGCCACACAGTTATTCAATGCACCCAAAACATGAATTTACTTTGTTCTATACTGCCTTACATGTAATACAATTTGACTTTGTATGACTGTTCAAACTAAAGAACTTTAACAATAAGATTTAGTTAATCGAACTTACTGGACACTCCTGTTTGAGTCATTTTTTCCACAGTTACCAAAAGTCTAAAAAGGAAATCTTTCTGGCGTAGGCAGAACAAACATTTAAAATATTTTTTGTGCATTCTTTAGTTTATTATTTTTATCTTATTTTTATTATTATTATTTTATCTTAACAGAGCTGCATTTCTGTGCGAAGGTCTTGCGCAAATGCTCACTTTATATTGTTTTTCCAAGGAACCAGCCTTTCTTGTCATTTTTTAAAAAAAAAGTGGTCTTCAGCAAAGGTTTCCCAGGTTTTCTGAAGGTCTTTTAAAGGTTTTCTTTGGGCATTGGCAGCTTTGTCGTGCGGCCCAGTCTCTGTACTCGACCATTTTCAGTTTAACACTTGTCTTGTTTTTTTTTTTTAAAGTGTGTGTCCTTAAAAGAAATGAGTAAAAGTGAAGGACAAAAGAAGAAGTAAATGCCCTAAAAATGATCTATAGTAGATTACAGTAGCTGAAAGTCATGTTCTTAAGAAATAGAGTAAAAAAAAAAAACTACAAAGACTCTGTCTCCGCTCTGTTATGTGCATCTCTGCGATATGCTTATTTTTTAGAAAAATCTCTACACTCGGGAGATATAAGAGACACATCATATATATAAAAAATATCCAACTCCATATTAGCACGACTGAAATTAGCGACAACTTGATAACACTGAAAATACATGTTTAGTAATTACCCATTAAATAAGATTCAAGCAAAAGCAGTTTTATGAGTCTATGCCTTTAAAACATAACCGTCATGGAACTTCTGATCGCTCACTATTGCTTGTGCAAACTCGTGCTGACTGCAGTGATTATGTGGAATCATTAGTGTATCCACAGCTGGACACAGTAATGAATCCAAAAGGCAGAATATATGACTTCATGGGGTTCAGAACAGACAGCACTGTCTGGCTTCACTGAGAAAAAAGCTAAGAATTGATGATATAATTGGGGATTACCAAAAAATTTAACGTGTCCCATCACAACTGTGAAGCTTCAATCCGTGTGTGTATATTTGTGTGTTTGTGAGCGGAGGATACAGGTAATGGTCCAGCTCCAGGGAGGGATGACCTCACCTCTGCAATCCCCTCGAGGGCAAATGAGCTCAGTTGCTGGCTGGTGTGGTTCTGATAGGCCTCTAGGTTTGTTTATCAGTGGAAAATTTAATCCTAATACTTTGTAACTCCCCCCCTCCTCTACCTCCCATTTAACGCACAAGCACACAACGGGAATACAAGCTGCACCTGTATGGAAATCAAAGTGTGTGTGTGTGTGTGCGTGCGCATTTGCAGTCATACTTTGTCACCTCAGGCCAGAAAAAAAACACACAAGCAGACACCCGCACTCGCAAGGCTCACCTAAGGAGTACCGTTTAAAACCTAATGAATACAAAACAGCTTCACACTGTGACCCTTTAGCACTTTGTTCACTCAGTGGAGTATTTCATCATAGTTTAGCAAATTTTCTTTTTTCACCTCATGAACCGAGCTTAACAACTTTAAGAGTGAGCACTCTGTAACTTGTTGTGAACAAGCATGAATACTGCCTTTTGACAGAAACTTGGCTTAGATGTCTTTCAAGTTTGCTATACAATCTTACAACATATACAACCTGGTATTTCATTAATGAGTTAAAGAGAAAGAAAGTTTTTGATCAAGTTGTTCTAAATCTTATAATTCGCAGTGTGATAATCGAAGAAGAAAAGAATGACATGATCTGGAAAGTAAAGATGCTCAGTTTTGGTAAAAGCCTAATCAAAATTAATCAGTTGTATGGCCAATAATTATAATCTCAATTATTTGATATTTTATGATTTTTCATGAACTTTAACATTTGCATTTGATTCCCTATTTTTTTCCAAATACAGGATTTGCTTGGGTTTTAATTGAAAAGCAAACGTGAACGTGATCAAAGACATTGGTCATCTGGTTGTGAGTTTATGACCGTTCCTGCAAAGTCACCTGGCAGTCGCTCCCTGCCTGCAGCCTCCACTGCAGGAGGCCTGCAGATGAAGGCAACAAGACGACCGGGCTAAATGTGCTTGCAAAGCCAGCGTGGTAGCCATGGGGAGAGAGACTGAGAACATAAAGCCAACAAACAACTGACCGCCAAAAGGGGACACTGTGAGAAATCCCCTGAGACCTTGCAACCATTAAATTGCCTTCCACAAGTTGACCTACCGAAATCTTTTATGTCTATTACTGCTTGTTAACGAAAGACTCTTTTTCCATCATCTTGGTCTTAAATGAGCTAAATAATGAGTAAAATTGAACTTTTAGGGAGGAGCAAAAGAGGACTGCTGTCAAGGAAAGGAGTGCGCTTGATTTTAACACAGACAAAATGATTGCTTTACAGTGAAAATCAAGGCAAAGAAGAATTCCTTTTTATCTGTTATATCTGTTCACTGCATCACTATCTGATGAAGAAATCTACAACAGCGGTCCCCAATCCCCGGGCCTCGGACCGGTACCGGTCCATGAGTCGTTTGGTACCGGGCTGCGAGAGTTGAGGCTCAGGTCTGAAATGTATGGATTTTCAGGGTTTTTATCGGTTTTCAGCGTTATTTTGTTATTGTTTTTATCGTTTACTCGGTTTTCCTGGGTCCTGAGTAATGAGCACAGAGTTTCAGATTAAAGCCGCTGCCCAGTCACAGTGGAAGGACCTGGTTGAGATGATTCAGCTACCTGACTTTACCTTCTGGCCACATTCTAAATGAGGTTTTTCAAACATGTGCAAAATCTGGACCTTTCTACTGGACATCGGTCTAAGTGGAAGAAAATTAATGCAGTGGTCCCCAACCCCCGGGCCACAGACCGGTACCGGTCCGTGTGTCGTTTGGTACCGGGCCGCGAGAGTTGAGGCTCGGGTGTGAAATGTATGGTTTTCAGGGCTTTAATCGTTAACTTGGTTTCCTTGTGTCTTTCCCCGTGTTGTAGTTATGTGTCTTATTTTGAAATAAATTTTTACACGTTACCATAGCGACCAAAGAATGGCAGAGAGAAGGATGTTACTCTCAATGTCGTTGGCGCATTTCAGGAGGACGCTGCTAATAAAGTTACACAATTACACAGTGAATTTGCATTTATTATTTTTTTTACAAAATACCACAGTTTTTGTCTTGGTCGTATCATCCTCAACACCTTAGAGGCCGGTACGTGAAAACATTGTCTGACATTAAGTCTGTGGCGCAAAAAAAGGTTGGGGACCGCTGAATTAATGGATACTTATTTCTTAATTTACACTTTCACTGAAATCAAAATGTTGTCTTGGTCTCTGGATCTTTTTTAACATGAAAAACCTGCATTTTCTGTAAAAAGCTCTAGAAAATGAATGAATCTGGATTTCTTACCCTGGATTTGAATGCCAGGAGAATCTTAGGCAGAAAGAGGACAAAGCATTTCAGGATGATGGTGACGTACTTGAGTACAAAATCTGTGATGCCCACTGCCCAGATCAGATCAAAGAAATCAAAGCTGTTGAGGATGGGCTTGGCAAATATGAGGCTAGAAGAGAAAAACAAAATGAATCAGCGACTTATTGTCAAGGATGGTGTTGCTTACACTTCGTCTAATGACAAACAACAGCAAGAAAAGATGTCAGAACATGTCAGAAACTCTGTGGAAACAAAACAACAAAACAAACAAAAATACTCACAGGACAAGATCAGACAAGAACGGGAACACTGCCTGAAGGAAATGGAAGTAAAAATAAAACGCACAACATAAAAATGAATGGGGAAAAACCTAAATGTATATGTAGAAAAAATAAAATAAAATGGCAGGCAAAGAAACACAGAACTACTAGAAAAATCGTTGCTTGTACACTACCTGTTGTGCAGCTCTTCATGACTAAATGTGTAGTAGATATACACGATGTTCCCTCCAAGGAACATGATGATCCATAGAGCAACAAATACAGAACGTTCCTCCTGGTAACAGAGACACATAGAGGGATTTCAAGCAACATGCACCATACATTTCTTCTAAATGTGCTGTAAGGTGCTAGTATTTCAAATAATGCTGCAAACTAACAGAATGCTTGGTGCGTTATGAGTTTGTTTGAATGTGAAAGAGCATGTATACATAGACATCTCTCACATAAAAAGTCCATTTTAAAAGGTATTTCAGCGATTATACACCAAATTGATTTATGATGTTTAGAATAAGACTTATTCAGCGCGTATATTTTTCTTATGCTCAACAAGACCAACGACGATGATGAATTAATCCACCTACAAAATCTTCTGTCTACCAAAAAATGATTACACTTATTTATTTATTTATTTAATTTTACAATACCGCTCTCTTGTAGTCCAATTGTTATTGGTTATTAACACACAATATCATAAAAAAAATGAATCAGTGCATTCTGTTTTAACATCACTAAAAATATTTTTTAATAATAATAATAATAATTACTAATTTAATATCATTTAACATTTTTATTAAGTATAATAAAAAGAAATGAGGAACATAATTACATCTTTCAGTAATAATTGCTGTGTTAAAACGTGCTTGGAAAACGTTAGCGTGAATCTGATCTAAGAATAAAATAGCTATACTTCTTGGATTTTGTTCCCCCCTTTACCCGTAATGATACTTGGTGCCTTAAAGTGGAATTGGCATAGGCAAACGTGCTGGCCATCCCCACGCAGACAGCAATTCCTGCAAGAGAGGTGCAACATCATCAGTGCATGAGAGGTACCGTTAAACAATCTTAGCCACATTAGTCCTCCACAAGCTAGAATACCTAGTTTATGCTGAAAGCAGACTTTAGCCAACAAAATAAGGATGAAGGGGAAGCCTCTCTGTAGCCAGGTGACCACCGCTTTCAACTCAGACAAAGCTGGGGCTGGGGTGGACTGGTCTTCCTGGGCTTCCTCCCTGGAGCTGTGCCTTTCTGAGCCAGCTGCTGTGGTAGCCTGCTGGAGCAGGGACGAGGTCCTATGCTGAAGGGGCTGATGGTGGAAGTGGTGATGGTGATGATGGTGCTGAGGTGGCCGAGGGAGAAAAGGTCCACCCTCTGTGCGATGGGGCCCCCCTTCCTCTCTGGATGATGCTGTCATCTGGATAAAAACTTCAGGGGGAGAGCCCAAGACTAAGCCGGCTGCCTGGAATTGGGCAGAGGAGACAGAGCTGGAGGGGACACCAACAAGGCCGGAGAAGATCTGCTGGGGAGAAGCGGGTGATTCAGGCTTCAGGCAGTCAAACACACCACCCTCATCCAGGCTGCTTTCCGATCCCAGAGTTTGGCTTCGGCTCCTATATGGAGAAAAATTGCACGTAGTATAGTATGCAGTCTTTGAATAATCATCTTAGTCTGTGTAGTGTGTTCTCCAATTATCAGAGAACCTCTGGGGACAAAAATGCATTTTTCTTTTACTCCAAGTCACAGATATTAAATTGAGACTGATGATAAAACTTGACGAGTTTGGCTTTAGGTTCCAGTTTTTCTTAAACAGGGGTTAAATGTGTTTTGGGTTTGTTTGTTTTTTTCCTCCATACATTCATTTTCTGTCACTTGGGCCAGTTTGGGTTGCAGAGAAGCCTAAAGCTCCCTCTTCAGAGCCACGTCCTCTAGCTCTTCTGCTGGGGACACTGAGACATTCCCAAGCCAGCTCAGAGACATAATCTCTTGAGTGTACTTTGGGTCTTCTCTGAGCCTTCCTCACGGTAGGCCATGCCCCAAACACCTCACCCAGCAGGCATTCAGGTGGTCCAGATGTCAGATGCCCAAACAACTTCAACTGGTTCATTCATTGCAGAGGAGTAAAAGCTTTATTCTGAGTACCTCCTGTATGACCGAGGTCCTCAGCATGTCTCTAAGGGCCAGCCTGAGCGCTATTCATTTCCACTGCCAGTATATATGATGTTGTTCACTGAATTTATTTAACTAAATGCATTTGTAGCTCCAATTTTTTTACTCTGGCAAAATGAACTGATGCTGGTCTATAACACCTTGCAATAGTAAGTTACCGTCAAAAAGGCTTTAACTCTTTTTGTTTTGTGTTGAGCGTATTTAAGAGGGATAAGGCAACAAATGGAGCAAGGCCAAACTCAAAGTGTTGCAACAATGTTGGAAAGCACATATAACCTACAATTGCAAATATGTGGCCTTTCCAAAACTACCAAGAAAGCATACAGGCGGTGCAGGCAGAAGGGGTGACAAAAGCATCTGTGCATTTGTGCAGGAGCTCCTTTCCCCACCTTTCAGAGGGCATGCCATCCGTGTTGCTGCTGTGTCTCCTCTGCATGGCATACCGATCATCACCACATGGTCCAGTCCTGTAAACGCACAAATCCACAGTATCATCACCAGTATGTGATTCACAGAAGCTGCTCTTTTTGCATGCATCTGACAATAAAGTGACCACAAATATAAACCACTTTACCTGAATTAATGCGGTGTACTGGACTACAGCTCTTGTCATGGTTGTTGTAAATGGTTAGCTAGACAGCTGCTGCTGCTGCCCAGACGATCCGCTCGGGAAACTTCCGGTGTGGCGTCACTAAGACCGCCATCTACCAATCAGCATCTTCTTTTCGACCGCACTACATCCGTGCTGGGGATTTGTTTTGCTGATGCTGGATGTCAGATTTTGCTGAAAAAAAATCCCACCGTTTCTTCTTACTAGACAAAATTTTGGACATGATCGAATTATTATCTACAGAGGAGACGAAGAAGCGTTATTAAACAGCGTCATAGTTTATTGGTTATCGCTCCTCATTATTTATCTAGCAACTCCGAGAGCAGACGGCGCTAGCTAGCAGGCTAACAAAGCTGGCATTTACAGTGAAACACTTAGCTTGCATGTCCAGCGCGTAATTCGGTAGTTTTAAAGCAGACATTATATTTAAAGGTTGCTATTGTGAGTTTAAGAGTTAAAACATGGGTTAGCTAGAGTTAGCTATTTTCCGTCTATGTCCTATATTTGCATTTTTACCACCAGCTGAGCTAGCTTTACATTATTTGCAGTTAGCCTTTTCATATTCCTGAAAATTGAAGACAGCCAGAGAACTGCTATCCGTGGAGGTTTGATGTGTTGGGCTGTCACTTGCACTTCCCCAAAGCAAGCCATGCTATGATGGTGCTACGGCGGCTACTGAGAAAGCGCTGGGTGCTGGGAGTCGTCTTTGGACTCTCCCTCATCTACTTTCTGACCAGCACACTCAAACAGGTACAGAAACTCACACTGCGATAAGTCGATTACAGAAAAAACATGCAAGAGGAAAAAAAAGATCTAGTCACTTTCTTTTTTTCTTTTCTTTGTAAAAACAAAAAAACACACTGCATGCCAATTCTAAGTAGGAAACTAAACATACACGCATTAGTAGGGAGTTGTATCAATAACTTATATCCAAGCTACTACCTTGTCCAAATAACTATTCTTCTGAATAATCACAATTTGTGGCATTATTTTTTGAAAGTGTAGCTGGGTCTAATATTACAGACTTTTACCGGCATCTAAACAATAATTTCTGCCCACAGATTTCTAAATTAAAATGTTTGTGCTTTCTGTTTTGTGTGTGTATGTGTTCCTCAAGCTTGGGTCCTCTACCAGCAGCCTGAGAATATGAGGGCTCTGATCTTAGCTGTTCCTATGACTGCACTCTTCTGGACAGGCCTCTGATGGTCAGCCTGCAGTCTGCTGGAGCCACTATTCAATTTTGGGGTTTACAGCTCGTATCACTGGGGCCACTTGACTTTTCCTTCCACGTCTGCTTCAGTTGTTCCTTCAGCTTCTCAGTTCTCTCATGCTTTCTTTTTGAAGTTGTTGTCCTATGGGATAGAGACATTTGCAGTCTCCTGCTTTTTGTCAGCCACCACTTTGTCTGTGTGGCTGGCCATCAGCTTCTTCTCTGTCCTGAAAGTCCCACAGGGTCTTAGCCCTGCAGTTTTCAGCCAGCAGGTATTAGTAGACTTCTAAAACACATGCGCATAGATAATCCCGTACACTATCCCAGCCACTTGATTGGTCCTCTCAATGTATGTTGTCCCTTCTTGCATCTTAGATTCTGCTACGGTGTGCTGGATAGTTCTAGGAAGCCTTTGCACAGTCTGCAGCTTGGCTTCTGTCAGCTGTGGTAGACCCCTGCCTCTATGGATCTGGTGCTTAGGGCCTATTCTTGTGATGCCATGAGCCGCCTCCTGAGTCTCTAGCCACTGGTAGGATTTCTTGATGCCAGCCACTTCCTCCATCTGTTGATGGTACACCCCATGTAGGGGCTTGGTCTTGTATGATAGCTCCTCTTGTTCCTCATCACCAGCTGCCTTCAGCCAGCTGAAGACCTCATAGAGCAGCTTAACTTGGGGGCTCTCTGTCTGATGCATTAACGGAGGCTCCATGTTTCTTATGTTTCTTCCTGGATTGTGGCTCTGATACTCATTAATCCTCTTTATTTCTCTCTCTGTTGTTCATAGAGCCTCAGGGTGATGGCCTTTGGGTGGAGAACTCATCAGTGGCACCTGTGGCCCTCTCATTATCATTATTATTATTATTATTATTATTATTATTATTATTATCTGATGACTACCATTGAGCTGACCGTTCTGCCTCCTAGCAGCTCCACCTCTTCAGTCCAGATCACCTTTGCTCTCTTTCTAACCATTCAGCCACACACTCACTCAGTCTGAATGACACCTTAATGTCTAGAGTCTCGGATTACTGGTGCACCAGTAGCTGGTGCTTTGACCCAGCTACTGGTCAACGTACCCGTTATTTCCAATACTGTGCTCATGTGCGGACTCATGTGCCTATTCAGTTTGGTTACGGTGATGCTGCGCAGGATCTTTGCTTTTCCTTGAACTGTACTTTTCTGGACAAAGATGTCAGTTTTCATTCCTGGAATCTGCTTTTTCACTGCCCAGAGTGTTCCGATCATCAAAGTGACCACTGTTCCCCTCTCCTTGCACATTCTTCTCTCAGCCCTTGGTATTTCTCAAGCTTCTCGTGTTTCTTCATCCTGATGTTGCTACTGCTGGGTGTTGCTACATCGATCACTATGGCCTTCTTACTCTACTTGTCTTCTTCATTGTTGAAACAGTGGCTGTAGTTTCTCGAAACATTACTGTTATTGACAGATATTATCTGTCAGAATAATACTATAGCGAATTTAGAATAGGGTTATATGCTCAACCATATTCTGAAATTTATGTTGCTCTTCATTAGCTTTCCGTGACCTGTTTCTTGTATGTGTGCACATTTCAGGAGGAGCGGACCATACGAGACCGCACACTCTTAGAAGTTAGAGATTCAGATCATCGCATCCCCTGGAAAGTCCGCTTTAACCTGGGGAACAG